GTTGACAGAAAAGAGACTTAGTCTCCACACATTTGATCATCTTTAAGCTCTATGCTTCTATTTAGGGAAAAGTATTTGGAAGAGAATAAAGAAGGGTGCCATAGCTTCTGTGACTTCCCTTCCAAATCACCATATACCCAATATGGTACTTCTCCAGAAGTTTCTTTTAGTTTCAGCCATATTTACTTTTGTGTTTGTGATTATTTGGGATAGGACTTTGAAATTTTGTTTATTTATAAACATTTATCAATTTATTTATACTTACATATTTTTACTGTGGTAAGAACACTTAACATGAGATCTGCCCTCTTGATAAATGTTTAAGTGCACAATATAGTATTATTGACTATATGTACAATGTTGTACAACAGTTCTCTGGAACTTCTTCATCTTATATAACTGAAACTACAGTTGACTGTTGAATAATGTTGAATAACCACCCGCATAGTTGAAAATCTACCTATAACTTTTTTATTGTATCAAATGTTATTTATTTTATTTTTGAAATTTATTTTATTTTAAAGATGTAGGCTACAATTCAGAATTAGGTGTACAAGTGGTCATCTTACAGGTAAAGTTTGGGCCTATCTTTGGTCCCCACTTTGCCTGGTTTGAGATCAGGTACCCTTATTAATGTGACACCCCCTCATCCCTGGACAGTTTCCAGCTACTGTCAATCTCTTCCTTATAATATTTTGGTAAATGTTCAGGGTCCGCTTATGAGTGAGAACATATGGTACTCAGTTCTTTGTTTCTGTGATAAATCACTGAGTATTATAGGCTCGAAATCCATCCAAGTTGCTGTAAAGTCCATAATTTTGTTCTTCTTTATAGCTGTGTAATATTCCAACAGGTTTATGTACCACATTTTAAAAATCCAGTCCAATTTTGATGGAAAGCATGGTTGGTTCCATGTTTTTGCTATTATAAATAGTGCTGCAATAAATGTGCATGTGCAGGTATCTTTTTTGTAGTGTGATTTAAATTCCTCTTGGTATATTCCCAGAAGGAGGATTGCTAGATCATATGGAAGGTCAATTTCTAGTTCTTTTAGGAATTGCCACACTGTTTTCCACAGAGTTTGAACTAGTTTTCATTCCCACCAACAGTGTAGATGCATTTCCTTTGCTCCACATCCTTGCTAGCATCTATTGTTTTTTGTTTTATTAATTACAGCCATTCTTACTGGAGTTAGGTGGTTTCTCAGTGTGGTTTTGATTTGCATTTCTCTGATGATTAGTGAGGCTGAGCGTTTTTTCTTGTGTCTATTGGCTGCTAGTATGTCTTCCTTTGAGAAGTTTCTCTTCATGTCTTTTGCCCAATTTTTTTTTTCTTTATTTTAAAGATGTGGGGTACAATTCAGGGTTAGGTACACAAATGTTCTTTATGAAGGTACCCTTGTTGCTGAAGTGTGCCCCTCCCTCCTCTGGCAGTTTTCTCAACTGCCAATACTACCCCCTCTCTCTTGGCAGTTGCCCACTACTGCCAATTCATTTCTTAAAGTATTGTGATAATCGTTCAAGGTTCGCTTATAAATGAGAACATATGGTTCTCTGTTCTTTATTTCTGTGATAGATTACTGAGTGTGATAGACTCTAAATCCATCCAAGTTGCTGTGAAGTCCATATGTTTGTCCTTCTTTATGGCTGCATAATATTCCATTGTATATATGTACCACATTTTTTTATCCAGTCCAGCTTCGATGGGCAGCATGGTTGGTTCCCATGATTTTGCTGTTGTGAATAGGGCTGCAACAAACATGCATGTGCAGTTATCTTTTTTGTAGAGTGATCTGCGTTCCTCTGGGTATATTCCAAGTAGGGGGATTGCTGGGTCTTATGGAAGGTCAATTTCTAGTTCTTTCAGAAATCGCCACACTGTCTTCCAAAGAGGTTGCACTAGTTTGCATTCCCTACCTGCAGTGTAGAAGTGTTCCTTTTTCTCTGTATCCTTGCCAACATCTGTCATTGTTTGTTTTATTAATTATGGCCATTTTTAGTGGGGTTAGGTGGTATCTCAATGTTGCTTTGATTTGCATTTCTCTGATGATGAGTGAGGCTGAGCACTTTTTTATGTGTCTGTTGGCTGCCCATATTATCTTCTTTTGAGAAGTGTCTATTTATTTCTTTTACCCTCTTTTTAATGGGGCTGTTTACTTTTTTTCCTTTCAGAATGTTCGAGTTCCTTGTAGATTCCAGAGGTTAGACTTTTGTCACGTAGACAGTTGGCAAATATTTTTTCCCATTCTGGGTTGTCCACTTTTTAATATAACTTTTGACTCCCACAAAACTTAGTTGATATTCTACTGTTTACTGGAAGCTTTACCGATAACATACACAGGCAATTAACTGTATTATATATTTGGCACACTATATGTATTATATATTGTGTTCTTACAATAGAGTATACTAGAGAAAAGAAAATATCATTGAGAAAATAATAAGGAAGAGAAAATACATTTATAATACTGTATGGTATTTATCCATACCATACGTTAATGTCATCTGCTTTCAAGATGAATCAAAGGGCAGTCAACCACAGCTGCATGAATCAATCTGTGGTATGTATCATGCAATTTAGTGGTTTCTTGTAACATCATGACTTTTCTCTGTTTCTTGGGAGCATTTCCAGCTTCATTAGTGGCACTTTGTATGGGTCCTGTGGTATGGCACAAGGTTTAGGATATTGTATTAAACACAATGAAAAATACATGAGAACCTTGGGAGATTATTTTTTACTGTGATATAAAACTTACTGGAGAGATGAACTGTTCACATGGTGATAATTAGTGTCACATGGCGTTTTAAGTGGACACTCAAAACACTTGAGTCCAGTACAATACCAATAGGAGGTGGTTACAAAACTACTACTACTACTACTCCCATGAATGTTATGTAGTTCCGATTTAATACTGCATCTTTGTTTGACTGCCAGTGCTGCCATGTGTAGTTTCTTAGTGTATGATAAGTTTTGATAAATTTTAACTTTTTATAATAGATTTATGAATACTTTATGGTAGTAAATGATAAAATAGACTAGTATCTACATATATTTTATACGTTCATGATATATCTTTTTCTTAATTTTTTTATAAATCTAGGCTATATGGTTCATCTGTGTTTTTTCAAATTGTAAAACCAAAAAAAATGTTTTCAATGTGTTTATTGAAAAACAATCCATGTGTAAGTGAACCCACATGGTTCAAACTCGTGTTGTTCAAGGGTCAACTGTGGGCACCTGTTGAATAGCAGCTCCCATTTCCTTCTTCCCACAGCCCCTGGAAGTCACCATTCTACTCTGTTACCAGGAGTTTGACTATTTTAGATCCATCGTGTAGGTGGTCTTATGCAGTATTTGTCCACTGTGTCTGGCTTGTGTCTTTTAGTATGATATCCCCCAAGTTTATCCTTGTTGTCACATATGGCAGGACTTCTTTCTTTTTAAAGGCTGAGTAACATTCCATTGTCTGTATGCACCACATCTTCTTTATTCATTCAGCCATTGATGAACATTTAGGTTATTTCCATATCCTGGCTATTCTGAATAATGCTGCATTGAACATGAGAGTTCATATATTTCTTAGAGATTCTGATTTCAGTTCTTTTGTATATCTACCCAGAAGTGGGATTGCTGGATCATATGGTAATTCTGTTTGTAATCTATATACTGTTTTCCATAGCAGCTGCACCAATTTTCCATTTCTACCAACATTCCACAATGGTTCCAATTGCTCAAATTACTGTGATTATCGTGCAGTGATATGCTCTTGGTATAGATATATGCAATATACATCGACAATTTGCAGCAAACCCATGTTTATTTTGTTCTGGTTCTTTCTAAATAGCTTATAAAGGTGGCTTATTTTTATTGATAAGAAAAAAATACACTAAAAACCAATTTTCTATTTTCAAAAACTTTTTAATATCTATTATCTCATGTGATTCTTATAGGTTTGTATAGTCAGTTTCAGAGTTGTTACTGGAAATTTCCTAACAATCCATTGTACATTTTAAATTTGGGATAGTCTCTAACTAGTCTCTAAAGTTGTAAGTCATTTATTTACATTGCAAAGGAAATTCCTTATTTGGAAGTTCTTATTTCATAAAAATAAGTCTTTAATTTATAAGCTATAGAGATATACTTTTACTAACATCTTTTATGTCAGTGCATTTATAGGGTTGAGCAAAAGATTTTCTAGTAGATTGCATGAATATTTTACTTTGAGTCTACAGTGCAAAAGAACAACAAAAATGTGTGGGGAATTCTGTTATGAGCTAGCCTGTCTGTGGGTTTAATTTGAATTCACTGAAGAGAGTGGACTTCGTAGATTCAAGTTAATGAGCCATTTCTCTTAAAGTATTCTGTCACTATGGGATTGCACACAGTTAGAACTGACAGTTGGAAACGTGCTGAGATAGGGAAACTAAAAAACAGCTGTCTCTCTGGGCAAATGGTACCAGCTGGTGAGGCTCTCCAAAGCAAAATATTTTATATAATAAAATAGCTTTCAGAGATCACTGAAGTTACACATATATGTATATTTAAGGTAAATTTTTTGTTTGCTGTCATTGAGCCAAAATACTAAGACTTAAAATGACAAGTACATTTTTTCAGGTTTTCATCTTTTATTGACTAGCAATCTCCTTAACATGTGTTCATTAAATTAATATATACAACTTCAGAGTTTACTTTTTAAAACTGTGTGGAGATCATTGGAAAGGTGTTTTTATTTCTTATATGGATTTTAGAAACGGACAGTTTTTTTCTGGTTAGATCTTTTCTGGCATGAAACCTGTTTTTAAAATGTCTTGAATTGTATTAGAAATGGGTAGTTTATGTTTTGTTTCTTATTCACACTTTGAGAAAAGATCTCTACTTCTGAATCTTAAAGGATCCCCATTATTTTGATACAGTAAATCTGACTGCCCAAATTATCATTTAACTTTGTAAAAAAAAATATATGTTTTATTTAAGTGGGAATCTGTTACATTTTTGGCAGAATGGTATTTGTTGAATTTCTGCAACGCCAGTATTGTGAGGTGCTTTAGTTTTTGTGCATGGTGAAACTGTGTAATTCGTGTTTGTATGGAATGGAATAGGCAAAGGGCTGAACTTTCAGTTAACGTCCATCCCTTCATTCATAAGAGAAGTTTTAGCTAAAATTGATTAATCTAGCTGCATATATTGTATGTTAGATTGTAATCTATTTAACCTTCTGTTTTGACTTATGATCTATACCTCTTTGTGTTACTTTACCCATGATTGCTAGGGGCTTTACAATATGCATCTTTAACTTACCACAGTTTATCTTCAAATAAAATTATACCACTTCACATGTAATGTGAGAGCCTCATAACATTGTATTTCCACTTCTCTCTATATCTGGGTTTCCATCTGGAATCATTTTCTTTAGCTTAAAGAACTTCCTATAATATTTCTTGTACCAGTCTGCTGGTAATTAATTTTTTTGGCTTTTGTTTATTTGGAAGTTATCTTGCATCATTTTTGAGGCCCTTTTTAATGTATGTAGAATTCCAGGTGATTTTTTTTTTTCCCTTGGAAAATAAAGGAATTGTGTTGCTTCATTTTATTCTGGCTTGTTAATGGTTTGTTGAGGAGTGGTATTTCTTATCGGTGTTCCTCTGTGTAATGTGTTGTTTTCTTTGATTTTAATATTTTTTCTTTATCACTGGTTTTCATCAATATGATTCTGAATGTTCCTTAGGGTTCTCTTCTTCATGGTTATTTTGCTTGTTGAGCTTACTGGATCTGTGGGCTTATAGTTTTTTAATCAAATCTGGAAAACAATTGGCTTTTACTTTTTCAAATTTTTCTTCTATTCTTTCATCCACACTTATATTCTAATTACATGAATGTATAACTGCTTGTTATTGTCTCACAGGTCACTGAAGCACTGTTTATTTTTTTCAGTCTTTTTGGTTTTTCATTTTGGGGAGCTTTTATTGCTATATATATCTTCATGTTTCCTTATTTATTCTAATGCAGCATCTAATCTGCCATTAAATTGACTCATTGTGTTTCTTATTTCAGGTATATTTTTCCATTCTTAGCAGTTTCATTTTTTATTGTTTTTCCTTGATTCGTTTTTTCTTATTATAATTGAATTTTTTATTAATATATCATTGAATATATTCATAGCAGCTGGCTTAATTTCCTTATCTTGTAATTTCATAATCTCTTTCACTTCTAGGTCTGTTTTTATTGACTGATTTTTTTCCTTGTTTTGGACCACATTTTCCTTTTTCTCTGAATACCTTCAGTATTGGATGTTTGACATGGTAAATATTATTTTGGTGAGTGTCTGGATATTGTTGTTTCCCTTTAAAAAAATGTTCAACTTTGGCCGCAGTTACATTTCTTGTGGAGCAGCTTGATCATTCAGGATTAGTTTTTAAGCTTGGCTAAGGTAGATCTAGAGTTACTATTACTCCAGGGATAGTTTATCTTTCGTAGGAGGTGTGACCTTTCTCAGGTCACTACTTAACACCCTGAGTATTCAATGAAGACTTTGCACTCTGGCTGGTTAGAAGCTAGTTGTCTCCTAGCCTTATATGAGCTCTGGGAATTGTTAAGCTTTAAGCTTTCCAGTAATTATTCCCCCACTTTATATGGATACAGCTTAGAATTCAGCCAAAGATTTCAAGGACCTCTTATGTAATTTCTACAGTTCTCATTCTGCATAACTCCCTTTTGCTGGTATCATGTCCTACAGATTTCAGATGCCTCAGTTTTCCTGAACTCCAACCTCTCCTTAATCTAGCAAGGCCACAGTGTTGTTTGGGCTCTTTCTCCTTGTGACACAGCCCAGAAATTGCCTCCAGGCAGAAAGCCAAGGTGTTTATGGAAGTACCCTCCTTTGTTTTCCCTCTCTCAGAGATCATAGATCTGTCTGCTTTCTCCTATTTGAAACAGCTTAGTTCATTTTATGCAATTGTCTAGTTGCTTATAATGAGAAGGCACCTTCAAATGTCCAAATATGACTCTGAGCAAAAATCTAACTGAATTTATTGTACTATTTTTTTTTCTTATAGGAGAAATAGGACGGTTGGAAAAAACTGTTCTCTTCTTCTCCCTCAATGGCAGTGGTTATGAACGAGAGAGTATATCTTGACTTAAGATAGTCCATCTTTCTTAGAATAGTACTTCCTGGTGGAATCCACATCATTATGTTCCATAGAATTGTCCATTTTTCTAGCTCCAGAAAATAATTTCTTTGTTAAATTGTTAAAACTTTCCATGTGGAAAGTTAAAAGGAGAGTGGTGAAAATAGTATCATTTTATTTCTTCTATCATTGTAGGGAATAATTGTCTTCTTTTGAGAAAATATAAAGAGGCATAATGTTAATCTATAATGTAATTACTGTTTTTATCTCTGTCTCACAAATTACTTTAAGCATTCAGGTGGTCTAGCAAAGGCTACTCTGAGACAGATGGTAAAATTTTATCAGTCTATCTGATTTTTTCCCCACAATCACAGTATGGTCTTATTCCCTATGTGAGTCCTTTTTTTCATAGGTAGGGTAAATAATTTATGGGAAATTTATTATTAGCATGTGCAGTGTCTGATTTATAGCTTGTTTCTTTTTCTGGCTTACTGATACATATTACACAACTTTCAATTTTCATCTGTTGATCTACCTTAGATGTGTGAATTTTAATTCTTTTCCTTGAGTATGCTAATAAAGATAGGCACAAGGTCATTCAAACATGACTGTTTGCCCTTAAGGTAATATTTTATAAATGTTTACTTTATCAGAGTGAAGAGGAAAGAGGAAAAGATCATAAAGAGTTTGTGAGATTTCTTATACAGAAATCTGATATAGTGATGGTTGTACTGAGTGCCTGAGTTCAGGAAGCCTGGAATCTTCATCTTTCTTGGTTTTGAAACATGGATGTTGATATTATTAACAGAAACAGAAAAAGATGGACTCTGTTGTTTCATGTCAAATCATCTGAATTTACCCTATGTTAAAACTAAAATCATATAAATATATAACCAGGAAACGAATCTAGAGCAGACTTTTAATAGTGTGCATCACAGAAAAGATGTAGATCAGACCGTTTTCCCCTCATGGTTCAGGGCAAAGAATACTGTGGAAAGGATCTGTATAGGCTATATATAAGTGGTGCTGTTTGGATCAGGGATTCTTGAACATCAGGGTTGGGATGAGAGGATTTTGGGGACAGGGTCTGTAACATAGCTACCTTCCATGGAATAAAAATCACATCTTTAATTTTGCTAACTTCTAATCTAAATTTACTTTAATTGTAAATATAGGTGTAAAAATAATTGTATGAGCAGTCTTGTACCTTTGTCACAGATATAAATCACATTTCCATGTGATATAAAAGTTCTAGATATAATTAAAATGTATTAATAAGGAAGGACATACATTATAATGTATCACAAATTTGATATTTAAACATTTTTGTATAATTTTATTCCAATATATTGGTAGTTGGTTTCCTTTGTAGTTTTGTATTTTATTTTTAACAACATTATTCTGAGAAGGGTCCATTGGCTGCATCAGTCAGCTAAGAGGGATTTGGCTCACAAATTAAGAATGCCTGGTTTAGGTAGTTAAAATTACTTTCTATCTTACTTGCTATAGAGTTCTTCTTTTGTTTCTGTTCTTGTCTGCTAGTATTGGGCCACTAGTAACCCTGTAATTCAGTTTGTCATCCTTCACCCCCTCAGCATCTTTATTTATTAAAAGACTTTGTAACATATCCTAAGTTATACATTATACGAGTTTAGAAAATAGATTCTAGACTCCAGGATGGGCAGGTTGAAATCCAGACTCTATGGTTTATTTAGCTATGTGATCATGGGTGGATTATATAACATTTCCTATGGCAAAAGTTCTTAGGAGGACCTTTTCTGTATGGGGTTATTGTGAAGATTAAATGAGTAGATCTTTGTTAAAGGAGTTTATGACAGTATGAGTGCTATGCAAATGTTTGCTATTGTTAATAGAATTTACTCAGAAAATATTTGATTGTCATTATATGAGTTAGGCCCTGGACATTTAACTCAAGACAAATGTGTAGTTGCCACTCTTTCAAAAACTTAAAATCTAGTGTCATAGATCTTGGAAAAGGCATTATTAACTATGTAGGTGTTAGGAAGGAGGAGTGCAAGTTTCTTAGCTATGTCTTGAGCATAGATTGGGGGCCAGGCAAGGGAGATGTTAAAGCTGACTAAGCAAAGAATGGGAGGAGCATTCAAAGCAAAGCAAAGTCATTTGCAAAAACTGGGATGAAAATATTCTGATATGTCTGAGAATTTATAGGAAACTAGTGTAGTTACAAACAGAATGAGGAGAGTGGACTAGGAGTAAACATGAGGAGTAGGCAGAGGCCAGACCTGGAGTAGGGCCCTGTAGAATTTAAGAATTGGGTCATTATCTAAGGGCTACTAGCTTTGCACGTTTAAGATGTAATACCTTAGCAGAGGTATTACATCTGAATTTGTTTGGAGGCTACAGAAGCATTCCAAGGAAGAGGTGACATGCTGCTGACTAGACTAGACTGGTGATAGAGATGGTGAAATAATATGGAGATAATTCTAATATTAGCTTGAGGGACTTGATTGAATGTAAGGCGAGAGGTGGTGGGTGAAAGAGGAGGAGTTAAAACACTTAGGCTTCTGGATCTTGAGCAATTAGATGGCTGGAAGTACCCTTTATGGAGTGGATGAACACAGTAGAGGAGTAGCTTTGAACATGTATAGGTGGATTCAGTTTTAACATACTGGTGCCTCAATAAATGTTTGAATGTTTAAGGTACCCAAGAAATCACTAGGAGGAGATACTAATAGTTGGTTGGATACATACAAGTCTAGTGCCGTGGTGAGTTATTTAAGAATCTTTTTCCTGGGAAGAAGGGATGGGATAGAATAAGTGCTCTTCTTCATAACAGGTAAAAGGAAAATATGAGAACAACTGATCTGAAGATGATCTAAATGGAGGACAGCTGGGCATAGAAAGTAGCACCTTAGGGAATGCTAATGGAAAGT